ACCAGACTGAGTATTGGGTCTGCTTGCTGGGGGCTGGGTTCAAGAAGAATGTACAGGCTCTCAGCCCCCGCATCTTCTGTACCTTCATCCCAGGTCTCCTCACTGGCTTGAAGCAAGGCAAGGGGTAGAGGTGAAGAGGCCCCTTTCTACCCACAACCCCAACCGGGATCTTGCAACATTGGGATGGGGGCCCTGGGGGCCTAGGCATGTGGCAATCTGTACGTGGGGGGTTGGGAGGTGTGCACTGAGCAGGGGGTAGCTTTCACAAGTTGCTACCTCCGCCTGTCTGACCTTGACAGGCTCACCTTGGACAGCTTCCGCCCGTTTTGTTTTGTTTTTAAATACTGGGCATTGAACCCAGGGGCTCTTTACCATTGAGCTATATATACTTCAGTCCTTTCTATTTTTTATTTTGAGACAGGTTCTCACTAAGTTGCTGAGGCTGGCCTCAATCTTTCAAGCCTCCAGCCTCAGCCTCCTAAGTTGCAGGGTTTACAGGCCTGCGCCACTGCGCCTGATAGTTTCCTCACTGTTCACAGTGTCTCCCACAGTCTTCCTTCTCAACGACTTCCCATGGCCTGAGATCCTACTCAAGAAGGAAAAGTGGGCCCAACTATGGGTTCTAAAGCAACAAGAGTGTGTATGTGCTGTTGAGGCATTGCTTGCTGGTTTTCAAAGATCCCCTGTTCCCAGTCCTTGAGCCTTTCCCTAGGCACAGGTGGCCAACTGTCCCTTTCTGGGCCCCTTTCCTTGGGGAAGCCCTGGGAATCTGACTTTAGGGGCTAAGTCCTGCTTCTTAGTATCTATCCTCCTGGGCAGAGGAAGTAGGAAGTCATTTGCAACTACCTTCTGCAGCAAAGGAAGTATTTTTCTTGCTTGCCACTTGTCTTTCTTTCCATTTGGCCAGTCACGCTTGGTTTCCTTTCTTTTCCTTCATCTATGGACACCTTTTGCATTTGTTCTTCTCTCTGCTCACTTTTCCCAGTTGTACATCAGCCTCCTTCTTGAATATTTTTGTTTCCAGTTAAATATCACTTCCTCCAAGAGGCCTCCCTTAACCACCCCAGCTAACATAGCCTTACTACAAGTTTATTTGGTATTCTTCAAGGGTACGTTCAAATAGAGTCATGCAGAATTGAACGAAGGTACTTTATAATGGTAAAAGAACAGGATCTGGGGAAAGCTACAGCAGTGTTGAGTTACCCTGGTCTCCTGCAGCAGGGGTGCCACTACCCATCAGGCCCTAAACGCAGGAGAGGCCCTGAAAGAGGGGGCAGGAAGGGTCCAGTCTAGCACATCCATCTCCTGACAGTCTCACCCTCTCCTACTGGGGAAGCCTGTTGAGGTAGGAAGGCAACCACCTGAGAGCTGAGCAGGGCAGGAAAGTTAGAGGGGGAATCTAGATGGGCCAAGAACATTAGGCCACCTAGTTTATTGCCTTTGCCTTACCCCTTCAGCTGATCACTTGTCCTGTTCACAGATAGATGCTTGACAAATACTCATCAAATAAATTACTTTGGCCAAAAGCAGTTGGTGTCAGATTGAAAGTCTCCTCTAGGCCTTGTGCCTTCTGGCTGCAAGTCATCTCCCTGGATACAATCTGACAGAGAGGAGTGGGGTATGCTCCCCATTGCCTCTGGCTGGGATGCCAGTGGAGAGGTAAGGATGTGGCTCTCCTCTAGATTCTGGGCCAGTCAGAAAGCCTCCAGCAGGCTCTGGTCCTAAGGAGCTGACAGGTGGGCTGGGAGCTTGGTGGATCTTTGGGAAAAAGGCTTGAGGTGTGTTGGGGCAACCCAGGTCCCATCTTCCAGTACCTTGAAAGGAAGTCGAGGGGCAGTGGTCTTAGCTGAGAGGAGGAAATCCGGAGGTTGAGTCACTCACCACGTTCTGTACAAACCCCCTTATGCAACCCATCCCTCTTGGCTGAAGGGAAGGTGAGAGGATTCTCCCAAGCGCCTGCAGAGACAGGAACCACTCCCTCCCAAACTCCGGTGGCTCCTGTCGATCCCTCCATTGGGGGTTCAAGTCTGTCCCCTCAGTCCAGATCCAAAGCAGGGGGAAAGGGACAGGGTCCTGGCTGGGGTAGTCCTGGTGAACACAGATGCCTGAGGATGCAGGAGGTATGGGAGGGGAGAGGAAACTGGGTTGATCCAGATACAAGTCTCTCTTCCTCCCAGGGAGTTAGTTATTCCTTCATGTCTAACTCAGGCTTTCCCAGCAGTGAACTAGGAAAGACTTCAGCCCTATATTCTGTCCTGAGTCTCTGCCACTGTCGGGCAATTCATGATCACTTTTTGCCGCCCCCCCCCCCCAGCTTGTATAGGGGATTGCTCTACCACTGAGCCACATCCTTAGCTCTTTTTATTTAGTTAGTTTTATTTTGAGACAGGGTCTTACTAAGTTGCCCAGGCTGGCCTCAAACTTGTGACCCTCCTCCCTTAGTCTGCAAAGTCAAGGATATTACAAGCTAGTGCCACTGCACCCAGTTCATAATCATTTATTCTTTATTTCTTTTTTCTTTCTTTCTTTTCTTTTTTTTTTTTTTTTTTTTTTGTGTGTGTGTGTGGTACCAGGATTGAACTCAGGGGTACTCAACCATTAAGCCACATCCCAGCCCTATTTTGTATTTTATTTAGAGACAGGGTCTTACTGAGTTACTTATAGCCATTGCTGAGGTTGGCTTTGAACTCTCCAACCTCCTGACTAAGTCTCCCGAACTGCTGGGATTACAGGCATGCACCACCATGCCTGGCTCATGGTCATTTCTTGAACATGATTCCTGTCCCTACCTGAACTGAATATACTTGAGGATAGAGACAAGTGCCAACTATTAAGACAGTCAACTGGCTGAATGAGCTTCAGGAGGCTCTTATCCCCTCTGGCCCTCACTCCTTTATCTATAAAATGTGGCTCACACTATCTTGCTTGTCTGAGGGCAAAGCTCACCAAATGATCTCTTGAGGTCTTTTCTAGCATCTCTTAAAATCTGTGATTTTGCCTGGCATGGTAGTGCCTGCCTATAATCCCAGTGACTCAGGAGGCTGAAGCAGGAGGGTCACAAGTTGGAGGTCAGCTTCAGGAACTTAGCAAGGCCCTGTCTCAAAATAAAACATAAAAAGGACTAGGATGTAGTTCAATGGTAGAGTGCCCCTGGGTTCAATCCCCAGAAGTAAAACCAAACCAAAAAAATGAAACTAAGCAAACAAAAAAGACTGCTGTGATTTTTTTTTTTTTAGTTTTCGGAGGACACAACATCTTTGTTTGTATGTGGTGCTGAGGATCGAACCCGGGCCGCCCGCATGCCAGGCAAGCGCACTACCGCTAGAGCCACATCCCCAGCCCCACTGCTGTGATTTTTTAAAAAATAGTTTTAGTTATAGATGAACATGATATCTTTATTTATTTTTTTTTATGTGGGGCTGAGAATTGAACCCAGTGTGTCACATGTGCTAGGCAAGTGCTCTACCACTGAGCCACAACCCCAGCCCCAACTCTGTGATTTTTATGAAGCTACTTTTTTGGTACTAAGGATTGAACCCAGGGAACTTAACCTCTGAGTCTTAATAGTTGGCACTTGTCACTACCCTCAAGTATATTCAGTGAAGGTGGGCACATCCCCAGAACTTTTCATTTTTTATTTTGAGACAGAGTCTTGATAAATTGCTTAGGGCCTTGTTAAACTGCTGAGGCTGGCTTTGTATTTTCAGTCCTTCTGCCTTAAGATGTGTGCCATGGTCCCCAACTATGGAGCTAATTTAGATTCTGCCTCTAAACAGTCCCATGATTCTTGGTAATTTCCTTCCCCTCTCCAAGGCCTCAGTTTCCTTATCTGTAAAATGAGAATTTTACAGTTAACTTTCAGTTAGAGCAATGTGGAATCATAACAACTATTCATGCTTATGATATGCCAGGCCCTGTTTTTTATAGGTACACATCTGAAATCCTAGCTACTGAGGAGGCTGAGGAAGGAGGACCACAGATTCAAGGCCAGCCTCAGCAACTTAGTGAGACCCTATCTCAAAGTAAAATAATAAAAAGGATTGGGGATGAGGCTTAGTGGTAGAGTGCTCCTAGTTATCCCCAGTACTGACTATGAGATGGGCACCAAAATTACTCCCATTTTGCAGATGAAAAAGCTGAGGCAGAGAAAGGAGAAGTAAATGGTTCAATGTCACACCACCAGTAAATAGCAGAGGGAGATGCAAACTGAGGCTCTTAATTACTGCACTCTTCTGCCTCCAAGGCTTTAATTCTGTGAAAAAGAAACTGCTTTAAATGTGGGTGTTTACTGGCACAGGCACACTGTCCTCCTCCTCCTCATTATCAATGCTCACATACAAATCAAGTCTCCCAGTTGAGCCTTTCCCAGGTGATAACTGATTCCTCTCCCAAACACTTAGATTCTCCACTTTTAGGGAACCATAGCCCCTAAAATAGGGGTAAAAGATAAAGATGGAAGTGGGTAGGTGGAAACAATGGTGAGGGATGTCAGTCCAATGGACTGAGGCTATCAAACTGAAGAGAAGATACAGAGTGCTGGATCAAGAGCTAAGGGACCATAAATATGGCAGAGCCATCAGAAATTTTCCTTGATCACCTAGGAGCTTTCAGACTATACCTTCAGGCAAGAGCAGGCTAGCACAGAGACTGTTTGGTGCTGGAATTGCCCTACCAATTCCAGGGCTCTGTCAGCAAAGTATCCAGAGTTGCACCAGGTTGTGTGTGTGTGGTGTGGGGAGCCTCCCTTCTGCTTGCAGAAGGACAGAGTGGGTGGCTAGGGGCAGGGACAGCAAGTTCAAGGGAGAGAAGAGCAAAGTGACAGACATATGATCTGGCTGTGTGGTAGTTGGGAGAGAGCTATAAGGGACAAGACATATGTAGACCCAGGCACACGGCATTACCTGGCCTCGGTCCCCTGTGCTAAACATGTGCATGCACATGAAAACACATGCGCGCGCGCGCGCGCGCGCGCACACACACACACACACACACACACACACAAACAGGCCCAGGCCCAGTAAACAACCCCAGCAGCAAATCACAGTGCAATTTATTCAGAATCATTATGGGTCCTGCCTTCCTTAGCCACCAGCTGCCATTGTCAATGGTCTTGGATTTGGTCTGTGAAGGTCTAGGGTCCCAGCAGAGTAAAGATCTCCAAGGTCAAGCCAGGGGTCTAGTGCCCACAGTCCACCAGTCAGGTTCAGCTGCAGCCCCCTACACCCTTGATGAGGTTGGCAGCCTCAGGGATCTGGCGAAAGAGGTTGCGAAGGGTGTCCAGCTCCTGGGTGAGCTGCTCAACACGGCTGCGCAGGCGCTCATTCTCCGCCATGTACTCCAACACCTTCTGTTGTGTCTCTAAAATGCGCCTCTTGGCCTTGTCCCGGCTCTTGCGCACTGCGATGTTGTTGCGCTCCCGCCGCAGCCTATACTCCAGGCTGTCTTTATTCACTGCTTTCTTGCCCTTGTGCGAGGGGCCGGCTGGAGAGGGCGCCTTGAGAAGGGGACTGCAGGGGGGCGCGGCAGCAGCTAGAGGGGCCTGGAGGGGAAGGCACAGAGGTATGGAGAGATGAGGGCTGACCAAGAGGTCAAGTGGAGACAAAGTAGGAATCTCAGCAGCGGGGCTGAGGGGATCCCTTGGGGGCGTCAAAGAAATCTAGGGTTCTGAGCCAGCTCCTGTTTTCAAGGTAGACCTGTCATTGCCCTGCCTTGGTGAAAGATAGTAACCCAGATGCAAAGGGTCCTCTCCCTCACACCAAAATTCCCTTTTATGCTCTCACACTCTCCAAGGACACTTTTCCTCCATTTATCTGTGGTGAGTCTCTTGTACAATCGGCAGGCATTTCCTCTTCAGAAGCGGGAGGCAGAGAAACAAGAAGAGGGGCATGGTGGGCAACAGGGAAGCTGGCAAGGGGTCTGACATCAGCTAAGATCAGCCAGCCACGGGGGTTTCAGGACAGAGTGGAGTTCAGGGTGAGAGTGAGTTCACAGAGAAGGAAAGAGTGGGCTCATGGTCTGGTAGTGAGCACAAAGAACCTTGGATGAGTCCATTTCACAGAGCAACACCAAACACAGACTCAGCATAAGCAGTGGCCTCATAATTCCCCCATCCACATAGCCTTGCCGCAGCCCCTGGGTAGCAGGGAAAACTGGTTGCTCTTACCTTGAGGACACGCAGGGGCTGGCCGGGTGCTGAGAGGGTTGGGGGCAGGTGCATGGCTGTCTGCCCACAGTGTGCCACTTGGTACTGCAGGGGATTGTAGCTGCCTCGACTAATGCCTCGGCTACCCTCTGGCCCCCGAGGCTCCTCCTTCACGGCCACAGCCCTGGGGTCGTAGTTCCCTGGGCTGCTGTAGATGCCAGGTCCCAACGCCTTCCTATCTGGGCCGAAGGTATGTGGGGGATAGGCGAAGGGTCGCGGGTCAGGCGGCAGGTAGTGGGGAAAGGCAGGAGTTCCAGGGACCTTAAGGCCTCGGGTCTCAGGCGCTGGCTTCATGGCAAAGAGGTCGGAGAGTAGTTGTTCCTCCCCAGACTCGATGTAGGCAGAGAGGTCGATGGAGGCCTCATGCTCACACATGTCCCCCAGCTCCCCAGGCCCGGCTCGGCCCTCTGAGAACTCAAGTGGCTGATGGCCACCCCGGGGCTCACACTCATAGTAGGTCCCGTGGGACATGGCCGGCCCGCCCCTTTGGCTCCCCGCCCCTGGGCCCTGCTCTTGGGGCACCCCTTAGGATGCTCAGCTTGCCTTCTGTCGATCTCCCCCTGCCCTAGATCTGCCCTCTCTGGTCTACTCTGTCACCCACTCATGTGCTGCTTCTCTCCTCTCTCCTCTGCTCTGCTTCCTTTTCCTTCCTCTGCAGTCAATGCCTCTCTTCTCTTCCCTTTTTCCCCCCTCTCTCTCCTGGGGGGTGACTTAGGGAGGGGCTGGGCACACCCCAGAGGGAGGGATGCAGGCCTTTGAGAAAGGGGGGCCCCTGACCTAGTTAACAGCTGGAGCACTTTGGTGAGGTCCAAGCCAGGTCTGGAGATGCACAGGAGCAGAGGTTTTGGAAATACCTCCACTCCCTTGAGCCCAGGGATTCCAAATCCTTGCTGAGGATTCCAAATCCACACCTCACTCTGAACGTCCTCCTCCTTCCAACTGTGCAGAATGAGGTGCCAGTTCAGAGTGAATAGAGAAAGCTCTCTTCCAGTGCCGACCCCCAGCTTGGTCTGAACTCCTCCTTTGACACGCCTTCCTCTTGGTCCCCCCTCCAGAGCTGAGCTCCACCTACTCTGGGGGGCAGTCAGTTCCTTTTGTAGCCCCACCTCCCAGACCATTCTTCTGAGTGTTGGCCTGGAGGTGTTGTTTGAGGGGTATTGGAAGTAGTGATAGATCCTGGGAACAAGCTATGCATAGAGGCCTGGTGCAGAGTGTGGTCATTTGCTAGGTTTATGCATAGGGTCTGTGCAATAGCCCAAACACTAACATGTTTCCAGCCCTCACTACCTCTAGCAGTCTGGCATAGTCCCTGACTGCCTGGGAACAACTGAGGTGCCTGGTCAGGACTTGGGCCCTGCACCCCAAGCCTGGGGGGCCACTGCCCCCAGAACTTACAGACATGCTCCTCAGGTGGCTTCAGCACCTCTCTCTTCCAACTGCCGTGCATTGCAAGAGATTCAGGCTGGCATTTTGCCCCCCACTTTGGGCCTGAGGCTCTGCCTCCCACTTCCTGTGCCCTGGGCTGCCAGCTCAGGAGCTCGCTGCAGCTCAGTTTGCTGTCTTTCCTTTTGCATGGCCGTTGTCTGACCTCCAGCATGTGTCTCTTGGGTCCACTTCCTCTTGGAGGCTTGAGACGCCTTCTCTTTTGTATTACCTCTTCCTGGGGCTCTGTTTCAGAGTCTTTAGGAGAAGCCCATAGCTCCCTCTTTGCATTTCTTGATATTGTGCTGTCCCCCAGCTTTCTTTTTCTCTTTCCTTTGGGAACTCTCCACTCTGGCATGTTGGAGACACCTGCTATGGCCTTCCTTTCACCTGTGAAGTTTCATCTTCAAAAGGGGCCCAGGTACAGTGAAAAGAAAAGGACAAATAAGAAATATGTTACTGGCCCTTTTATTACCAGCAAGTGCTATAGTGTCTTGGGGTTGGCGGGGTGGGGGGGGGGAGCAGTGCAGAAGTTTTTATAGGCTGGGTCACTATGAGTGTGCCACAGTAGGGCACATATGGATGGGCTACATGTCGCGTTTGCCAAGTCTTGATAACATCCTCCTTCCCATCCTCCCTACTCCACACCTGTCCCAGGTGCTTTTTTGGGTAGTTTGAAGTATGGACAGATATGCTTTATCATCAAGTCCTGACCTGGCATGCTCCTAGATACAGATCTCAGAAAATAGATAGGAGATTTTTCTTCATTTCAAAGGACTCCAGCCAAAAGAGGTACCAAAGCCAAGTGACTTCAATTTGGTGGCAGTGCCTGAATTGACCACTAGGTAGCAATATTGGCACAAAATTGTGGATTTGGGAGTCTGCGGTGGTTTGGAATCAGGTGGACTGCAGAGGGCAGCCTTTCTCAGCCCTGCACTGGTCAAGACTGTTCAACATTGGGAAGAGGAGGAAAAGGGGCAAGGATGGGGGGCTTGCAGTCAGGTTACCAGGATGAGGGCTTGCTGGGAGCAATGGTGCCAGTGTTTGTCTCAAGGAGGAAAATTTCTACCCTCTCTCTGACTTTGAAATAATGCTAATGGTTAGGGCTTGTATTTTCTGACAAATTATGCTTTTTTGGTGATTGAAACATTCCCTTTTTCCATGCTGACCATTTTGCTGTCGTTAAGTAGGAAGGAAGGCAAGGCAAGCAGTATTTTTATTCTTGCTTTATCAAGAAGGAAAACAAGACTGAGCTGCCCAAGGTCATGTGAGGATGCCTTACTGATTTCAGAAAGGGTCTTGGGCTTGTAAGTGAAATGGCCTGGGGCCAAAGGGATGGGGAAAAGGTTGCTGTGTGACTCAGTACCTCCTTCACCCGCCTTGGGCCGCCACAGGGAGGGAGAAGTCAGCGTCAGCAGCAGTGAAGTGGGTGCTGGAGGAAGTAGGGGTGTGTGTGTGTGCAAATAGAGCCTGCAGGAAATGAGAAAGTCAAAGCTTGGGCCATGGTGAGATAAGGGATCTTAGCCCCTGGCCTCCCTGGTGGGTGCTGACGTTGCCTGCACACTGCCATCAGTGTTGCCCAGTAACTGAGGGCTTGGCGGGGACAGCTGTGCTCCTGACATCAGGGCCAGGGAGGGGGCTCCTGACAGGATAGGATAGGAGTGAGGTTGGGAGGGCAGTGCCTATCAAGGGCCCCTTGGGGATTCTTGCTCAGGAGTGGAAAATTTTCTCTTCAGGGCAGCAAGATAATTTTCTTTTCACTGCTGCAGCTGCTACCTATTTGGATTATCTAAAATAATGAGTGTCATCTCACACTCTGTGACTGATCTCCTTCAAGCACCACGTCCTTGGTGAACCAAGGCTTCTCCAGAGAGAGGTGACTGAGCATGGCGAAGGAGTGTTAGAAAGGGCTCAAATCAGCCTCTGTCACTTATTGATGACCTTGGGCAAATTACTGAGTTGTAAAATGGCAGTAGTAACACCTCCTTCATAGGGTTGTTTAATTAAACTTTGAATAAGATAATACATGCAAAGCAACTAGTCCCTGTAAATGTTGATCTCCTATCTCCCTTCCTCTGATCTCTCTTTGCAGTTCTTACTGTGTCTCCAAAGCGCAGACCTACTACCTGCTGCCTTGTATGTCACCTCATTTCCACAGATAGGCTTTGAGCACATAGGTACAAGGCCCTGCCCAGGCTCTGCCATGTACTGTACTGTATACATTCTTGGCTTCTTTTCACTGGGGTCAGCTATTTGCTCTTTTTATTTTTATTTTTTGGTACTGGGGATTGAACGCAGGGGCACTTAACCACTGAGCCAATCCCCAGCCGCCTTTAAAAAAAAATATATATATATATATATATATATATATATTTTTTTTTTAGAGACAGGGTCTCACTGAGTTACTTAGGGCCTCGCTAAATTGCTGAGGCTGGCTTTGAACTCGTGATCCTCCTGCTTCTACCTCCCAAGCCTCTGGCCTACAGGCATGTGCCACCATGTGTGGCAGCTGTTTGCTCTTTAAAGGTAGGATTGAATACATATTTTGGACCTCTTCAACTGTGGTGACCATATTTCCTGAATTAAATTAAGGACAGGTGAGGTCAAATGAGGTGGCACATGCCTCTAATCCCTGTTACTCAGGAGGCTGAGGCAAGGCGATCACAAGTCTAGCCTGGACAACTTAGTAAGATCCTGTCTCAAAATAAAAAATAAAAAGGGCTGGGAATGTAGTTCAGTGGTAAAGTGACCCTGGGTTCAATCTCTGATACCATAAAACTAAGAAAGAAATAAAGAATTAAAAAGGGCTGGGGATGTGGCTTAGTCGTGAAATGCCCTGGGTTCAATCCCCAGTAAGACACACACACACACACACACACACACACACACACACCTTAGGGGGACAAAAAGAAATTGAAGTCTGTGCTGACTTTGAAAATTCAGGAATAAATTTGCCATTCCCACAGCATATAGCAAAGTTCTTGGGTACAATGATCAGAAAAACAGTGACTTTCAGAAGGTCTCCAAATTCTCTAGATTCAGAGCATCTGAAATTCTCAGCATTAAAGTGATTGGCAGGGTTAAGACAGGGGAAAGGCCCAGGTTAAAAATAAATGCATGTGGTCCAGGAGGATACCCACTTTTGCCCATCTGACCAGGTTGAAAAGATCAGCAGGTGTCACTTTACAGAGAGAGGGGGGCCCCAGGGACAAGTGTCTCCCTGGAGAGGGGACTGGGGAGAGCTGGACCTACCAGAATGGGGTGACGCAGAGGAGGACTGGGGCAAGCCAAGAAGAGGAAAATTATATGTGTTGAGGAAGGGGGCCTTGGATAACAGCCTCCTGGACAGGACTGGCCTCTTCCCTTTGGGGACAACTTAATGCCAGAAAACTGAGAAACAACAACAAAAAAATCACACACACAAAAATAAGACTGAGAAATGGAGACTGGGTCCAACTCTTTCTCCTTCCTCCCCCCACCCTTGAAATACTGAACAGAAGTGACTTGCCCAAGGGCACAGTTCTGTTTAGTGAATGGCCTGGGCTTAGAAGCCAAGTATTTGGCCTGCCAGCTCAGTGTCCCTGTGGATGGCGAGTTACCAGCCTGCCTGGAAGAATGACAGCCACAAAGCAGGAGAGCTGGAGTCGAGGACCAGAAGTGGAGGCGTCTCACCTGCCTGTGTCCTCAGTGTCCAGATGGTGGCGGGTGATGTCTCAACCCCCACCTCTCATGGGCCTGACCTCTGTCAGCAGTGCTCACTCAAGAATGATGCTGCCTCAGGACAGGCTGCTGGGAGGGCTGCCCAGAAAGGGAGGGACAGAGCAAGTACTGGGTCTAGTCCCATCAACTTCCTCTAGTAGTTAACCCTAGACACCAGGAGGAACTTGGCCTACCTTAACTTCTCCTCCTTTCCACTGTCCTAGTCAAACAATCCTCCTAGTCTTCTTCCCAGATGTTTCTGTATGGCTGAGTGGACCAGCCTCACCTCCCAGCATGCTCCTTGGGCCCTCTAAGTCTTTCCATAGACCCAGCTCATCACTTCCTTTCCTATTCTGCTCAGACTTTGAGGGGCACATCCCTGCTTTTGCCTCCCTCTACTAGCCCATGTCACATCCTGGGTAGTGACTCTTTCTTCCCAACTAATCTGCAGGTTCTCAGGATGGCACAAAGAGCAGGAAATTTAATAACATTTTGAAGTCCTCAGGAGGAATGAGAGGTGACTGTTGGTTTATGGGGTTCCTGAGTATGGGACCCCAGAGAGGCATGGAGGGGGGGCTCTTAGGAGGACCTTCTAAGAAAAAATGCCCAGTGATTCTGTTTCTGAAAGTCGTTTAATTATCAACACAATCAACTTCATTTGCATTTAAAATTTTATTACATGAAAAGAAAGAAGAAAACCTCAAAGGAAACAAAACTTAAACCAACTCAATGACATATTGTCATTAAGGTTCTAACTCCACCCCCCAAACCACCTTACATTTAAAAAATCCAAAAGAAATAGAAATACTAGTTTCAAAAATATTTATCCAAAAAAGTAAGGCATCCACTTTACAAAAAAAAAAAAAAAACAAAATAATAATAACAAATAATGGAAGGAAGGGAGGAGACTGGAGGAATGAGAGGGAAGACCAGGAAGATGGTCTTCTGGGGGCCCAGCCCAGCCAGTATCCACTCTGGGAGCCATAACTCAGCCCAAATCTAGCATCTCACCAATGTGGAGAGGCAAGCTGGGGCAGGAGCAGCTCCCTGGATATTCCAGTTTAAGCAGATGGGAGGGGGAAAAGGGAATCTTGCTTGGGATAAAAGAATTCTATGTCCCTAGCACAGCAAGTGGGGTGGGGGTGGGGGTGGGAGAGGCTGCAAGGTCAGGGCAGACACCATCCACTGCTTTGGAGTACAGGGAAAGGTCAGAGCCCGCATACCACAAGGTGCTTTTCTGAAGATCTTCAAAGTGGCTGACATTGTGCCACTGTTCTCTCATCCTGCCCCATGAAGGATTGGCGGTAAGGCCAGAAAGGAGGGAGGGG